GGGAACACAAGCAGGGGGAGTGGGAGAGGGAGAAGCAGGCTTCCCACAGAGCAGGGAGCCGGATGCGGGGCTCTATCCCAGGACCCCGGGACCATGACCTGAGCTGAAGGCAGACACTTAATGACTGAGCCACCCAGGCGCCCCAATGGTGTTCTTTCTGATTGCTCATATTTCCTCAAAGAAGTGTTCTGGAAGTTCATGAGCTGAGAATATAAGATAGAGTACAGATGATTTGAGGGTAGAGGGGAGCGTTCTGACATATTCATTTCAGAGAGGAAGAACAGTCTAATAAAATTTTCTTTTTGCTTACTGTGATATTCCAAAGACATAATATTTTTCTGAACAATATTCTGGATCATCTTTTAAATAAGTGTTAATTTACTGGGTTTTGTTATCAATGTGGAATTTAAAATGTATCTATTCTGGTCTGTTGCCTTAGACCTTTTCAGTGATCTTGATAAGTGTTCTGGCCAGGGTGTGACGAGTTACGACATTTCCATGTCAACTCTGAATGACGTCTTCATGAAACTGGAAGGAAAATCAACTATTGAACAAGGTAAATTCATTGTATAAGTAACAGAAAATCAATTTCCCAATAATCATGTATTTAGTATTTTATATGCTTTATGCATGATTTACACTAAAGAATGCTAATAATTCCAAATTTGACTGATGTTTGGGAAGGGTTGTATTGTTTTCTAATGTCATTACTAGGACTGAACACAGATCCCTTCTTGGAATATAACAAATTTCTCTGCAAACTATTTGCTTCCTATTTCAGCAGTTTTCTCCTATCCCCAGATGCTCATTGCTTCTTGGATATTCTGAGGATGTGAAAGGCTCTCAACCAAGGTCATGAAGTCTGAGCAGATATTTCTTATAAAAATTGCTCTTAGCTTGTTCATGTAGAAAATTTCACTAAGTCTTAATGGAGAAAATGCTAGGATCATCTCCTGTGTATTTTAATGGGTAGTAATAATGAGAAGGACAATCATTTACAGAGCCTCTATCCAGAAATTTTGATCGGTGTGTGGATATTGTGCATTACCTTTCTGCAATAACCTTTCCAACAATAGGCATTGGCTGCATCCTACAGAGGAGAAAACTAGACCTAAGAGTAGTTAAGTGATCGGTCCTAAGTCATGCCACTTATAAGTCATGTATTTGAGAATCAGATATGGGTCTTGTGGCTTCAGAGCCGGTAATTGTTCGCTCACATTTTGAAATTCTTGACAGCTTAATAGCTGACATTTAGGCATCAATGATTGGCTATTTCTATGGAAAATGTTTCTTGAAATCCCTCAGAATATTGTTACATATGGGACCTTCTATGCCTTTTCAAAGGCTAGGCATAATGAGGTCACCCTTTACTGAATTCTTCTTTGGTATGAATTTAGTTATATTTTATCACTGAGTTTATTGAATGTGGACATGATAAATATAATTTGTTTCTTGTATTACTTGCCTTGTAACCATTGTAAAACAACTTTTAATGTTACGAAAAAGAGAAAACTGTGATGTACAAGGATGGCGTTAATAATGTGTGTGTGTGTGTGTAGATTTTGAACAAGCAGAGATAAGAGATGGAGAGAGCCTACATGAAAAAGAGCCATCTTGCTCTCCTTTCCCTGAAATGCCGAAGGCTGTGAGCGACATGGTCCTCTGGAAAATGCAGATCAGTGCAATGGCATGGCTCCGTTTCTTAAAGTTAAAACGTGGGAAGAAAGAGCTTTTGATCCTGTGAGTATCAGAGAACTGTGGGTTTTGTTAGTGAGTTTCAAGAGAGGGTTAAACCAGAAGAGAATTTAAAACTAGAACATAGCACCCAATGTTCTTGCCAGAAAATGGATAGATACATTTCATTTTTACTGACAGTAGGAATGCTTGGATGGTAGCACTTGATTAGCCTTACACACAGGTCTGTTTAGTTTTCATGGTTTGATAGCCTGGTGTTTATATAACAATGCCTTTTAGTACTGCGTGGGGTGCCGCGGCCTGCTTTCCAAATTTCAGCACCTATAATCATGCCTGGCATAGAGTTGGTACCCAACAAAAATTTGTGAAATATCTGTCAATAAATAAAATTGCTACAGGTTCATGTGGTTATTTTTCTTTATTGGTAGACTCTTGGTGTTTGGGATTGCAATGTTCCCTTTGATTGTGGAAAAGATACTTTATGCTCTGTTAATTCAAAAGAGTGATTGGGAATTTACACCTGAACTGTATTTCCTCTCTCTTGGACAACCTCCCGAAGACCTTCGTACCAGCCTATTGATCATCAATAACACAGGTGAAGAGAAGAACAAAATTTTAGTCCAGAAATAAGTTATTTTTATGTAGAGAGGAAAAAACAAATCATAAGAGAAGAAAATGTGTATTTAGACTTCATTTATAGAAAATAGCTGAGGTACAGTGCATATTTGCTCTGATTTTGGAGACGATGGAGATGGTGGGATAAGACAGAAGGAGCATGGGTGAGTCACTATATAACCTGGTTAAAGCAGAACTGCCTATCTACCTGACCACCCTAAGCCATTATGTGAGAGAGAAATAAACTATATTGACTGAACCACTCTATTTGAGATCTCCTTGTTACAGCAGCCTAAGCTGTTCCATAAATATTATACAAACTGATTGACATGTAAAGAATGCATTTTTATACCCTATGCCCCTCCAACGGGATCTAGGAAGATTCCTTAAGACAATTTAATACCCATACTCTTGTTATCCTAAATTATGGGTAATTGGTTTTGTCTAACTGCTTATTTAACTTTGAAGAAGCTTTTGTTTCTGCCTAAGATGTAAAATATATGTATGTATTCAGCACAGGAGACCTCTCTTGACGAGTACCCCAGCCCATTCTTATATTCATCTACAGTTGTGACTCAGGGTTATAGATTTTCCTCTTTAAACAAAGGTGGTCTTTTAACTTCTGTTTTTCATTCTTTTCAATTTGGGTTTTAGAAAGTAAGTTTTTTTTTTTTTTTATTCTTATGTTAATCCCCATACATTACATCATTAGTTCTAGATGAAGTGTTCCATGATTCATTGTTTGTGCATAACACCCAGTGCTCCATGCAGAACGTGCCCTCCTCAATACCCACCACCAGGCCAACCCATCCTCCCACCCCCCTCCCCTCTAGAACCCCCAGCCTGTTTTTCAGAGTCCATCGTTAGAAAGTAAGTTTTATTCACTCTGCTACCTTAAAATGGAAATTTTTGTGAATTATATATTTTATTTCTAAGATCCAGAAATTTTCAGCCTGTCATTGTCAGCCTATTCATTTTTATTTTTCGGTCTATTATTGTCTCATGTATATATTTTCCTCTCCAGTTACTCTAAGAACAATATGCTTGGATTAACTTATTTATTTTTCTTCTCTGTACTCAGTTGTGAGGTATTTTGTGATTTAAGTTTGGGGCTTCTCTGCCATCTTGTTCCTCTTTTCTCCAAGTATGATGATTCTTAGTAAGATGTTCATTAAATCAGGGAATCCCTGTTTGCCTAAGGGAATGTGGGTAACCTTTAAGGTTTCCTACCTTAGGTGACTTGTGGAGATGGAGTGTGGATGCATGGAAAGCTTATTTTCTATGTATACGTTCCTTACCCACCTGGTGGGAATGCTGATTCATCTGGGGCTTGGTCCTGTTTTATGATCCCAGAACGCCTTCTGTGTGTCCCCAGTATGAACTCCCTTTCAAAGTCCAAATGAGCAAAAAATGAGAGTCCCCTTTTTTTCTTTTCCCATTCCATCCTGTCCTTTTAATTGTCTGGAGTTACTTTAGATCTCGCCCTGCTGTTTTCCCCAAATAGTATCTCTTAAAAAGTAAATCTGAGGACTTGTATGCTGGGGACGACTGCAGCTGCTGCCCGCTCCGTGTGGACCACGGGGAGAGAACTGGGGTCACTTTGTTCCAGGCGTGGTTAACCAGTTAATGAGCATGGCTGTGGCTTCAGAGCCCACTTTGTCCCCTTGAATTTGTCCACTTTGAGTTTCCATATCCTGGACATTAGTTTTACCTTTGTAGTTGTTTGCTCTTGTGTGCTCTAGGCTGTGGGTTTTCTTAGCTCTTATTTCTCTGTCAAAAAATCTCATCTGCTTTCTCCTTTAGGGGCCTATCAAAAACTTTGATAGTGGCACTCTTTTCATTTCTTACTAAATGTATACATATATTTAGGGAATAGATATGTATATAAAATATATGTATATTTTTTTCTTAAAGATTCATTTATTTATTTTCAAAGATTCTACTTATTTATTTGTCAGAGAGAGAGAGAAAGAGAGCACAAGCAGGGGGAGCTGCAGGCAGAGGGAAAAGGAGAAGCAGGCTCCCCACTGAGCAGAAAGCGGACATGGAGCTCCATCCCAGGACCCTGGGATCATGACCTGAGCCAAAGGCAGATGGTTAACTGACTAAGCCACCCAGGCGCCCCTAGAATTATCTTGTTTTAATGGTCACATACATGTTAACTTGCACTAAACAGAATTATAAAGGTAACTCATCACAGCATAGGATTTGATAAATAAAAGATGGTAAAGTGAGCCAATTTTATTATTGTGATGCCCAAAGACACATGACTTCACATAATATTCTATAAGTATTGACTTTAAATTGTGTATGTGGTTTATTTTAAAATTTTGACATATATGTTCTTGCTTTCTATGGCCTTCTGTTACTGATTTCATACTAGAATCAAATATTGAAGATTTTATACAGTCAGTGAAGCATCAAAATATACTTTTGGAAGTAGATGACTTTGCAAACAGAAACGGCACTGATGACCTGTCGTACAACGGAGCTATCATAGTTTCTGGTAAACAAAAGGTATTTTGCATCTTGGTTTTGCTTTCATGAAAAAAAGTAATAAAGTGCTACATATTTAACTGTTTTAAATGGCAGTCAACCCAGCTAGTATATAGTAACTTGATTTAAAAACATTTGGGGTCATTATTGAATAAACTGTGAAGTTTAAATAAGCTTTTGTAAAACATTTTCGATCTTAACTTTGGAATTAGATGATTTTTACATTTGAGAGTAGCTAAGTGTAATTGCATTATTCAGATTCAATAAAATATTAGACCTTATAATTACCAACCATGAATTTAAAGAATTTTCTTCAGTGACTAACTACTCAAAAGTTGTTTTCATATACAGTTGACCCTTGAGCAACACAGGTGTTAGGACCGCCGAACCCCTGCACAGTTGAAAATATGCATATAACTTTTAACTCTCTAAAAACTTACCTGCTAAGAGCTTACTGTTGACTGAAAGCCTTACCAATAACTTAAACAGTCGATTAACACATACTCTGTGTGTTATATGGATTGTATACTGTGTTCTTGCAGTAAGATAAGCTAGAGAAAAGACAATGTTATTAAAATCATTAGGAAGAGAAAATACATTTACACCACTGTACCATATTTATCAGAAAAAATTCATGTATAAGTTAACAGTGTAGTTCAAAACCATGTTGTTCCAGGGGCAACTGTATTGAGAATATACATTAAATACTATAAAAGTCACATGAAATCTCTGAGAGAAAAGTGTTCTCAGTCTACCATTAGCTTGTTTCAATTTCGGTAAAAGAGTCCAAGGGATAGAGATTGTTCCAGGTACAAGACCATTGAAAATACATCCTAATTGAAAATAAAATTCTGAGTCTTACTTAAAAGCCAGTGAAAAGCTGGGAGCCCACATGAAATGAACTACCTCATTATTTCTGGCTACAAGGAAATAAAAACCAAAACAAAAGCTTTGTAAGATATGTCATTGAGTCCAGTTCCATCTAAACTAAGTACATGGTAAAAAATGCAGTCTTAATCGGGTGCACATGTGAAACTAATGTAGCATTGTCTGTCAACTATACTTCAATTGAAAAACAAAAGTAATCTCTTTGTGCCAACTGTAGGAAACTGCATTGCTTGGCAATTGCTTTGTTACTTATCTAACATATTTATTACCTGAACCAATAGAATATTTAAACCCTACTGAGCCTCTTGATAAATGCATAAACATTTTCATAAACATAAAGAATATAAACATTGTCTTAGAAAACATAAAAATGGCTCATTGGCAGTGTAACCATGAATATTTTATGCACCCTGTGCTTATCTCCTATCCAGGAAGTCAGAGCTCCTTTGCTTGCTCACTATAAACTGACTGTGTCTCCTTATCGGGGCTACTTTTATATTCAGTTATTTGAAATTTCCTCATCAGCAAAATGAGGACAAAATGGTCCAAAATTAGTAATACTAAGAAAAAATCATATAGTGGCTATACAACCAATTTATTATCCCCTTTCACAGATGAGGAACCTGAAGCTCAGAAAGGTCAGTTAACTTGAGGATGATCACACAGAGTGTGGCACTATTGGGATTTTAATATAAAAATTTTTTCTTTGTTCTTTAATGACAGAATTAACATCATTTTGCTTTTGTTTTATTCAAAGGATTACAGATTTTCAGTTGCGTGCAATACCTTGAGACTGCACTGTTTTCCTATTCTTGTGAATATTATTAGCAATGGGCTACTTCGAATGTTTAATTGTACACAAAATATTCGAATTGAGAGAAGCCCATATCCTTTTGTAAGTATTGGATTTACTCATTCTAAACAATTAAGAATTTGGCAAGCAATCTATGTTTTCCCTCCATAGCTTTTAAATATTCATCATTGATTGTTAATCCTAAAAATGTTTTTGTCCTAACATTTTAAACATTTTATCTAACAAAATATGATTTTTCCCCTTGGTTCAATCAAAGAATGCTCATGGGGGGAATACTTTTCAGTATTATGTCATAGTCTTCTAGAGAATCTTCTGCAAAGATACAGACTTGATTGCAGAAGTGTTTTGGAGAGAGTGTGAGTGCAGGGGTGTGTGTGTGTGTGTGTACACTGAATTGGAAATCAAGAACACTTGTAAAACACATTTAGATTCTTATAAGTCTAATCTAATTTGTTGGTGGACCATTCATTGACTAAATGGGTAGTAGACTGATATGAAGGAGACTTTGCCAGTTCTCGGGCTGTATGTCTTCTGGTTAATTTCTTCACCCACCCCTAGTTGTATGCATTGTATGGGTATCTGACGCACATGGGCTGCATCTTCAGGGTTTTTGTCAGCTGGCTACAGCCTGGATTTAGATGGCAGGAAGCAGTAGTGGGAGCCAGGAGAGCAGGAGGATCCTGCAGCCTGGGCTGCAGTCACATTGCTTACCCCCTTTGTGCCTCCCCTGCCCCCCTGCCCAGAAGTGACAATGTCTTCTTGCTTCATCCTCGTTGGCTTCTCTGATCTTCCCACACATGTAGCCCTTGCATGAGTATTTTCTATTTGAAGTCCTGAGGGTAGTAATGGTTTTCTGGTTAGACCCTGATACTCAAGAGGGATCTCTTAAAGCTGACTCAACTGTTTTAAACCAGGAGACCGGAAGAGCACTACGTAGGATTAGAAATGGAGCCATCAAAAAGGGAAGCCCATTTTGTGACAAAGGGGTTGAATTCAGTTTTGGCTTTACTGCATTTGTGGTGCTGGGGGACGAGCAAGAGTAGATGGACAGATTATACTTGAGTGGTCAGCGATGGACACATGCACCATCGAGTTGAAGCCCCCACTGACCGTGAGAACTGGGACAGTGCAAGGGTAGGGGAGTCTGAAGGGAACTCTCCAGAAAGTAGAACCAACTGGCAGTAGAAAGACATAGATGTTATCCCCTCTTGGTCCTTTAGTTTCCTCATGTCATTACTTGTTTATTCAGGATCAAATAAAGTTTGGTCCCAGTTACTCTCTTAGGCATCCCGAGTCGCGCACACCTTTCTTCTCTCAGCCATTTTTATGAAGACAGTAATGGATTTTTGTACCTGGTGAAACATTCAAATTGATCCTTGTAGCCTCTAAAGCCTTAAGTAAAGCTTGAGAACTGTAGAATTATTTTGAGACAGGCTACTGCACTGCTGGACTGTGATTATATTCAAGAGGCAGTCCTGTACCTAAGCATGGGCCCAGCCTCAGGCAGATACGGATTTGGGGATGGTGATTCAAAGTTGTCTCCTTCCCCACAAGCTTGGTGGCATCAAGTTTTCTTTTTAGCTCTTTTGCTTCCAAACACATCCAACCAGCTGCTGATGGCTTTACATATCTATAACAAGATTAGCTGAGAAAGACATGCTGCTCAGGCCTGAGTGATCTGTTTCTCCAGGATCTTAAGTCCCAAATTATTATTTTTTGCACTGTGGCAAAAACACATGACATAAAATTCACCATCTTGACCATTTTTAAGTGTACAGTTCAATAGTGTCAAGCATATTCACATTATTGTGAAACAGATCTCTTAAATTTTTTCATCTTGCAGAACTAAAACCTCATTGTCCCTTTTCCCCCAGCTCCTGGCAATCATCATCCTACTTTCTGTTTCTGTTAATTTAACTACTTTTGATACCTCGTATAAGGACAGTCATAGAGTATTTGGTTTTTTGTGACTGGCTTATTTCCCTTAGAATAATGTCCTTGAAATTCATCCATGTTGCAACATGTAACAGGATTTCCTTCCTTCTAGAGGCTGAATAATATTCCACTGTATGTATATACCATGCTTTGTTTACCCCTTTATCTGTTGGTGGACGTTTGAATTGCTTCCACCTCTTGGCTATTATGAGTAGTGCTTCTATGAACATGTGTGGGAAGATATCTTTTTGAGACTCTGCTTTCAGTTCTTTTCAATATATACCCTGAAGTGGGTCATAAGTTATATTTTACTTCTTTTTTTTTTCTAGGAGTTGAAGCCATATGTTAAATGATCAGAAATCATTTCCTTTCCCACATTCATGCATAGATGTTGCTGAATTAAGGCGTACACTTTTATTTTTATTTTTCAGTACTTCAAAAAGTGTATTTTAATGATAATTAGTATTTGTTTAATTTTTTAATTTCAATTTTAATTTTTTTATTAGTTTTAGAGGTAGAATTTAGTGATTCATCAGTGGCATATAACACCCAGTGCTCATTACATCAAGTGCCCTCCTTAATATCCATCACCTCATTACCCCTCCTCCCCCATCTACCTCCCCTCCAGCAACCCTCAGTTTGTTTCCTTTAGTTAAGAGTCTCTTATGATTTGCCTCCCTCTCTGTTTTCCGCTTATTTATTTTTCCTTCCCTTTCCCTATCTTCATCTGTTTTGTTTCTTAAATTCCACACATGAGTGAAATCATATGGTATTTGTTTTTCTCTGACTGACTTATTTCGCTTAGCATAATACCCCCTAGTTTCACCCACATTGTGGCAAATGGCAAGATTTCATTCTTTCTGATGGCTGTGTAATATTCCATTGTTTACCATATATACCACATCTTCTTTATCCATTCATCTGTTGATGGACATCTGGGCTCTTTCCATAGTTTGGCTATTGTGGACATTGCTGCTATAAACCCTGGGGTGCGTGTACCTCTTTTAATCACTGTGTTTGTCTCCTTTGGATAAATACCTAGTAGTGCAATTGCTGGGTCGTAGGGCAGCTCTATTTTTAACTTTTTGAGGAACCTACTGTTTTCCAGAGTGGCTGCACCAGTTTGCATTCCCACCAACAGTGTAGGAGGGTTCCCCTTTCTCCACATCCTCACCAACATCTGTTGTTTCCTTAGTTGTTAATTTTAGCCATGCTGACTGGTGTGAGGTGGTATCTCGTTGTGGTTTTAATTTGTATTTCCCTGATGCCAAGTGATGTTGAGCATTTTTTCATGTGTCTGTTATAAGAAGAATTAATACCTATTCTTCTGAAACTGTTTCAAAAACTGGAAATGGAAGGAAAACTTCCAAATTCTTTCTATGAGGCCAGCATTATCTTGATCCCCAAACCAGACAAAGACCCCACCCAAAAGGAGAATTACAGACCAATATCCCTGATGAACATGGATGCAAAAATTCTCACCAAGATACTAGCTTATAGGATTGAACAGTACATTAAAAGGATTATTCACCACAATCACACACCACCACAATGGGATTTATTCCTGGGCCGCAGGGGTGGCTCGACATGCTCAAATCAGTCAATGTGATAACACCACATTAGTATTTGTTTCATTTTTTAAAATATTCACAAGTTTAAAGTACCTTTTATATTTGCAGAATTATATGTTCTTCTGGACTGGACTGCCGGAAGGTTCCATGTTCTTGTTTTGGGTTGTGTGCAGCATTTCACCTTACATCTCCATGAGCAGTATCAGCGATTACAAAGTAAGAGAAAGGGGGAAAAAAGAGAACTTCAAGGACTCCAGTAATTGTGATTTAAATGCTATGTGTTCAAAATGTTTTCCTGTGAGAAAGACATAGAAGCATATGTCTAATTTAGATAGTGTAGTTAAGCATTATTTCTATCAAGTCAGAAACTTTACTTCTAAAAACACAAAATATTTTTTACTTCAAAATTGCGGGAAACATGCAGTAATTTTACAGGGATTCAAATTAATCTAAACTTGTAAAGGGGACTATTATACAACTTTTGACGACATTATTTCCCAGTGAAAAGGAATAAATCATTGATATTTAAATTGAGGGCCAGATGTAAGACTTAAATCCCCTTTCTACTGTGGCAAATAAAATTTTTGGTTATATTTGTACTTGATCATGTCTGTTATCCAAGGCAAAACAGTTAAATCAGATTTAGATAAGTCATCCTTCACTCTTCTGAGCCAGTAACCCCCATAACATATTTGGATAATGGATAATTTATTGTCCTTCAGGTCACAGAATAATATCTCTTTTGAAGGAAGTTTATGCCTTGATTATTATGAGGTCTGCTTTTCTATTCATTATGCGTGAGTTAAAGTGATGTGGGGAATCAGACGTATAAAATAAAACTACTCATTTTCACAATGGTCATCGTTATGGAATTGGCTCTTTAGACCTCAGATTCCAAATAATATATACATAATTAAATTATTAGAAGATTTAAAATGATTTGATTATATTTATCTTAAAATCTCTCCCAATGTGTTTGTTTTGGATTTGGATTTCAATTGAATCTATGTATATCCTGTGTTTTCTCATCAGAAGAGAGCTAAGTCCCAGCTATGGATTTCAGGCCTCTACCCTTCTGCCTACTGGTGTGGGCAGGCACTGGTGGATATTAGCGTCTTCATTTTTCTTCTCCTTTCAATGTATTTAATTTTTTACATAGCCAACATAACGGAGGTTTATATCACAAGTCGAATTGTGTTTGGTTTGGTAAGTAACACATTATATAGACAGTATCTTATAAAGTAATTCATGATAAATTATAACATTTGATATTTCCTATAAGCAAGACATTTTCATATTTTGTCATAAACTAAAAAAAAGTTCAAAGTGCATGTGCAATAAGATTTTTTTTTAAAGATTTTTATTTATTTATTTGAGAGAGAGAGAGAAAGAGAGCACGAGCAGGGGGAGGGGCAGAGAGAGAGGGTGAAGCAGACTCCCCGCTGAGCAGGGAGCCTGATGCCAGGACCCTGAGATCATAACCTGAGCCGAAGTCAGATGCTTAACTGAGTGAGCCAGCCAGGCACCCCTGAAATAAGATATTTAAAAATATTTGTAATTTAATTTTTCCTTCCGTTAATACTTCAGTGTTTGACTTTGATTATTTGTATTATTTTCAGGTTGTATTTGGGCTTGGTTATGCAACTTCACTTGTCTTCTTGACATATGTGATATCATTTATTTTTCGCAAGTGGAAAAAAAATAGTGGCCTTTGGTCATTTTGCTTCTATATTGTAAGTACATATACAAACATATAAAGAGAGAGATGAGTAACTTTCAGTGTAACATTAAATATAATTACGTTTGCCTTGAGAAATGTTACAGTATAATACACATTTATAATTTCTAATTATTTTCCCTTTTTCTTTTACATGTATATCTATTTCAGTGTCCTTGTCTATTGCATTTTTATACCACTGAACAGCTACATATTTATGGAATATTGAAATGAAGGCAGACGCTTAACGACTGAGCTACGCAGGCGCCCCCATAATTCACCTAATTTTATAGAGGGGAAAAAAATTCAGGAACTTGTTTAAGGCCACATAAAAATCAGTGACGACTCAAGAATAAAATTGAGGTCTCAGACCTTATGTCATTCCTGATGTCAAAAAAATATGAGGTAGTAGGATGGTTGACAATACTATTTTAAAGTTTATGTTGATCAACATCTTGATTTGAGTGGGCTGAATTATACATCTTCACGGAGACCTCAAGGAGTTTGCAGTAATTTTATGCCTGATACAAAGAACTTATAATTTCATTAGAATATGTGTTGAGGATATGTACTGTGATAATTGACCTTTCATCATGCAGTTTGTATCAATTTAAACTATGCTAGTCTTAGGATTCACAAATCATAAATAAAAATGTATCAGATGATGGTAAGTGCAGTTGCACTTTTATGATCTTGGGTAAATTTGTAAGGAAAGTATACTAAAGTCTCCTCATCACTGAGTGAAGCCACACTCAGCTGTTAATTTGTTTCTGGAGTCCACTCTCCTAGCCCATGGGGTGTGGTCCTTCGTGGGTATCTCAGGCCCTTGTCTAATACGGAAGTACCTTTCAGCCTATGGTGGGGTATGGTAGCGCATCTTAGCATGCTGAGCGATAGCATGTTTCCTTTGTGCAGTTTTCAATCCTCTCTTGTTCCAGTGGATGAGAAAGAAGGACAAAACAATTCACAAAAGAAACTTGGAGGCTTGGTAGAATAAAAGAAGTTAGCTAAGTGGACCAATAGACTTGTAGTTATCAAAAATAAGGAGCTGGGAGAAAAATTAGACACATGTGATGTCACGGAAACCAAGAGGAGAGATGTAACGTAAATGTGGATAATCACGTGATACCTTTGCAGCGACATCGTGGTGGTTCCAAAATGAGAAAAATTTTTTGGATTTGCCATCTAAAATGCTTATGGTGTTCTTACTGAACACTTGATTACAAGTTACTGGTTTTATTCACAATCGTTTTTTATTTGTAGATTATACGTTTCCCCCAAACCGTAAGTTCACTTAGTAGTCACACAACATTCCCCTGCATAACAATCCCACAAAACAGTATAGTCTTCTAACCTAAAGATTTAGGAATCACACACACATAGGGTTTTGAGTTCCAACTTTGTCACTCACTAATTGTCTGGTCTTGAGGATGTTATTTGTTTCTCTGAACCCTCGATTTCCCATATGGAAGGAAGGGATAGTAAGAATGACCACATTATGGAGTTGTTGTGGGGATTAAAGCAAACAGCGCATGCTAAATTCTTAATGCCTGGTGTTTTGTGTAATATTCAGTGAATTTAGTAGTTACAATTCTTAGTGTTTTTATTATAATTCATACATTAATAAGATCAAGCAAAAGTTCAATACAGTGCTCAACACACACTTGTAGACTGATAAACTGATCCTTAAAACAGAACAATGAAAAATTATCTTTATCCCCCATCCCACATTTACCAGTATTTTAAAAGAAAATAAGTCCAGGGCGCCTGGGTGGCTCAGTTGGTTAAGTGACTGCCTTCGGCTCAGGTCATGATCCTGGAGTCCTGGGATCGAGTCCCACATCGGGCTCCCTGC